TAAGTCTGAGTAGTCGTCTTTATATCTAGATCCAAAATCCAAAGCTGTTCCAGCCAAGGTCTTTGACTGGACCCATTACACTTAGGTGCCTAAACCTAAACTTCAACCTAAACTTTCCCCAAGTTTGGAAAATGTTCAAGTTTGGGTCTAGACCTCCCTGTATAAAGCAGTAGGAAAAAAAAGGTGAATGTGTCTGACTGATGTGCAGGATGAAGACAATAGAATCATCCAAAGAGGATGGAGAGAGGCTGTTCTCAGTAGTGACAGATGGCAGAACAAGGAGCTCAAGTTGTGTTGGGAGAGGTCCAGGTTGGATATTAGGAAAAACTATTTCACTAGGAGGGTGGTGAAGCACTGGAATGGGTTGCCTAGGGAAATAGTGGAGTCTCCATCCCTAGAGGTGTTTAAGTCTCGGCTTGACAAAGCCCTGGCCGGGTTGATTTAGTTGGAATTGGTCCTGCCTAGAGCAGGGGGCTGGACTTGATGACCTTCTGAGGTCTCTTCCAGTTCTATGATTCTATGATCCCTGCCAGGTGTTCCTGCTCCATCCACCAGCCAATTTGTGCCTTTTTTGAGCTATGTATTTTGTACTATTGGTTAAATATATTATTGCACCCAACTGATCTTCATCCACATGGCTGAGGCCTTTGTGTGCCCCCCTTGCTTAGCAATTTGTCTATTAAATCAACAGCTATTTCTAGTCACAGAATGGAAAAATGGGTTTCTAGTCTCTTCCTTCCTTTTTCCTACATCTCTAACCATCTTTCCTGCTGTGTATCAATCCCTTCTGTGTATCAGAGAAATTTACCAAGTGTGAGAAGAGTGAATGTGATTTAAATCTAGAAAAGGAATTCTGTGAGTTATCAAACCATGAGAGAAATGGAGCTACTGTTGAGAATAGTGGCAACATCCCTGTGACCTCTCTCTTAATGGCACACAAGTCTCCATGTCCAGGGGTAAGCCCTGCATTCATCTCTTCTGCAGAAGTTGGGCCTTCATGTGATGGAATTGGAATGGTTCTGCTTTGCACAGGGAGGGAAGTGGGATGCTGGGAGTCTATACACGGGGTGCGCAACATTTCACTGCAAGGATTTATGCTTCCCAGAGAATAAGCTCCCTGTGTCTTAAAGTGGAGATTTCAGGGGATAAGTCAAAGGCCTGAAAAGTAGATCCTGGGCTACAGCAGTTATTCCTTCCATGAAGCAGGGATGCAGAACACATGGTACTGTACTATGGATGCTGCAGTAGCAAGTATGGCGCCACCTTGCAAAGAGTATTCCTTCTTACATGATTCCCACAGGGTACGTCTGCCCAATTGGTTTGTATCAGTCCATGTATTGGCACAAGAAGTCACCTCTTAAAAATCTCAGGGAAGGACAAATGACTCTTGTTTCTGAGTGTGGTACTCTGGGGGTATCTTCTGAGATTCGCGGACACACCCCCTCACGCTGTGATCTGCTGGATACATCTTCAGCACAGTGGCTGACACTTTCAGAAGGCATGTTTACATTCTGCAGAACGTTCTTGTTGAGTCACAGCTCTACTGGTCAGAATAGCTCTCTCTTGTCATATTCCATAATGTCAGCATGACCCTTCCCCTCCCTCCCAAAAGGCAGAATAATTCATGGAGATGTGTGTCAGGCAGGGAAACTCCATTAGGAGTGAAATGCTGACTATAAACTTCATTTAAGTTTGCATGTCACAAAGAAAACACCCAGTAGTAGTTTGACTGCCACTGAACTCACTGACTTGATACATCTAAGAATTGCTCGGATTCATTTCTATGTCCCATTGAAAATAAACTACGGGGCTGCGTCTAGACTAGAAAAACTTGCCAGCTGTCTACACTGGCCGCTTGAATTTCCGCAAGAACACTGACGATCTCATGTAAGATTGTCAGTGTTCTTGCGGAAATGCTATGCTGCACCCATTCGGGCAAAAGCTCTCTTGCGCAAATGCTTTTGCGCAAGAGGGCCAGTGTAGACAATGCAGTATTGTTTTGCACAAAAAAGCCCTGATCGTGAAAATGGCGATTGGGGCTTTCTTGCGCAAAACCACGTCTAGATTGGCACAGATGCTTTTCTGCAAAAGCACTTTTTGTGGAAAAGCGTCCGTGCCAATCTAGAATAGTGATAGAGATGTAGCCGTGTTAGTCTGGTGTAGCTGAAACAAAATACAGGACTATGTAGCACTTTAAAGACTAACAAGATGGTTTATTAGATGATGAGCTTTCGTGGGCCAGACCCACTTCCTCAGATCAAATAATGGAAGAAAATAGTCACAACCATATATACCAAAGGATACAATTGTAGTTATCACTGTTATTATTTGATCTGAGGAAGTGGGTCTGGCCCACGAAAGCTCATCATCTAATAAACCATCTTGTTAGTCTTTAAAGTGCTACATAGTCCTGTATTTTGTTTCGTGCCAATCTAGACGCTCTTTTCCGCAAATGATTTTAACGGAAAAACTTTTCCGTTAAAAGTATTGCGGAAAAACATGCCATTCTAGACGTAGCCTGGGTGTTTTGAGTCCAAAGACACTTGAGTCCTGCTTTGGCTGAAACAGGATAACAGTGTTTTCTCTTTTTATCATAACATTATCTATTATATCTGTCACAGGTGACTAACAGGGTAGCATAATATGCTATGTGTAGATGAATTCCCTGTCCAAAACCAAGAATTTAAAAATAAATTTAAACACAATATACATGTACCAAAATGCATAGTTAGAAAACTGAAAAAAATCACTGCTAGAAACCTCAATTATGTGGTGCGAGGTTACCTTTTAGACGTGACACTTAGAGAGAGGTCACTAAACTATAGGAAGCAGAGTGGGTTCTGTGATATTACTCAGAGTTGTTAGCTGATGCATTTTAATATTTTTTTCTTAAAGTCACTTATTTGACTTAATTCATGTTCCCAGTAGTCAGCCTCATCTTCTTGTTTGTATCATTGAATTCTGAATGCAAGGGGCCAGAGAAGCACCACCATATGGCTGTAGCAGTCAGCATAAGCCAGAGAGTCTCTCTGATACGCATTAACCCTGAGCTGGTGAATTTCTCCCTTGGAAGTATTTCAACTCATGTCACTCCATCACCTCTCTGCCAGGTGCTGACCCAGGATCAGATATAAAGTTGTGGCTTTATTTTAGGATAGAAACCCATCCTAAGGATCCAACAGAGACTTGTATTGATGCCAATGACTTATTTCACAAAGGTCACTGAGGCTACGGCTACTCTGTAGCCTTCTTCTGGAAAAGCTTATGAAATGAAGCGCAGCGTGGAATATCGCCACTCTTCATTTGCGTAATTAATTAGCAGCCGCTTTTGCGCAGGAGGATTTTGCTGTGTAGACGGCTCCTTTTTGTGCAAAAAAACCCTCTTGCACAAGAGCCGTTCTTCTTGAAAAAATTAGGAAGACTGGCTCTTGTGCAAGAGGGCGGTTTTGTGCAAAAAGGAGCCGTCTACACAGCTCCTTTTTGCACAAAAGCCTCTTGCGCAAAAGTGGCTGCTAATTAATTATGCAAATGAAGTGCTGCGATATTCCATGCCGCATTTCATTTGCATAAGCTTTTCCGGAAGAAGGCTACAGTGTAGCTGTAGCCTAAGGGTACATCTACACTGCTATGCTATTTCAGGATACTGGAGTATCCTGAAATAGCTATCCCACATCTTCACAGAAAGCCCATTATTTTGGGCTTGCTATTCCGATGTTCCTGTAAACCTCATTCTACGAGGAGTAAGGGACGTTTTGGAATATCGCTTTATTTAAAAATCCAGTGCTGTGTGGACAGTGCCAAATGATGAAATAAGCTATTTCGAAATCGCATTGAAATAAGAGGCACAATTTGCATTGCTCAAATTGCTTATCTTAGTTTGAGTTAGGGTGCATTGTAGATCCCATCAGCTAGTAACTACACAGAGATACATCTGATGAAGGGCTAATTCCAAGCAGTCATGGAACATTCTCTTAGCCTTCCTGGGGGTTTTAGGGAGATTGGAAGGAATAGTAATGAAATCCCTTCTGTACTGGGCTTTACTGAAAGGACCAGACTTTGATACCCTCACTCATTTTCAGTAACACTTTACTCCACACGGGGCCCTCTGACTTCAATGGCACTATCCATATCTTACTAGTCAATTTAAGGTACCAGTCCAGCCTTTAAATCGGCAGCCCCTGCTAATGCTGCAGTGTCTTCAACCCTTACAAAGCTCAATGAAGGGCAGAAGAGGGGAGATAAGGCAGCAGACGGCCTGATCAATCAAGTTTTGGATTTTGTTCTTTGCTGACTGAACTGAGAGAAATCCTGTTCTTTGAAAGTCTGTGGTCAAGAGGTCAAATCATAATGGTTCCTTCTGACCTTAAAATATCTGAATTTATGCCTGGCCAGATTCTTACAATTCCATTTAGGATTCCCCGGCTCTATTTCAGCAAATTTTGCTCCTTTTTCTTCCCAGGCTGGACTTTGCCTGGCACCGAATCAAGCCATTGAGGTCCCCCTACCTGCTGATGTTTGCTTTAGTTTCTCATTTTTCTTTTTCCTCCACTTCCATGGTTTGAAGATCCTGCCCAGTGTTGCCAGCTTGCTGTTCCTTCTCACAGGCGGCGTTCTAATCCCTGAGACCAGATATTCAGAATGCATTGCAGGGGGCTGCTCCATCTCATCTGAGAGGCAAAAACAGAACAAAGCTTGCTGGTTTACAAAAAATAAGAGGCAAGTGTTTCAGCAGAGGCCTAGTAAGGGAGGGGATGGAGGAATATAGACTTATTTTAGCTAAAAGCATTCAGTTTAGACACCAAACAATGTAGTGCAAACAAGGGAAATTGAGTCATTGTCGTCTTTGAAGTATGTGCACCAGATCCACTCATGCTGAGCAGGGAGATGTGTGCAACTATAGCTTTTTATACTGTGGTGGGGGGTTGAGGGGCGGGAACCTTTCTTGGCTTTATATCACACCTGTCATCACTGGCTTCTAGTACCCGATATCTGAAGGACTCTATTGCAGCCCATCTCCGCCGCACAGAGTTTGAATTCCAGTGGACAAGAGATGCTTCGTTTGTGCATCCCCAGTCTGCTCTGGTAAGGTCTTGATGCTGTTTGGAATGATTCTCTACAGCCCTACCCCAGCCTAAGGGAGGTGTTGACCTTGTATCACCCCTTTCCTCCACATATTTCCTGCTTCCTCCATGAGAGGTTCCTCTGCCAGGCTTACGCCAACAGAAGCACTGGAAGCATGTGGCCCTGTGTGAGGGTATGTCTACTCTGAAGAGTTTTTCCAGCAAAATGGACCTTTTTCCAGAAAAACTATAATTATGTCCACACTGCTATTGTGTTCTTTCAACGGCAAGTCAAAAGACTGGAGGGGTTTTTCCGACAGCAGTAAACCTCTTTCTACCAGGAAGAAGCCTTTTTCCAAAAAATCTTTTTCAGAAAAAGGCGTGTGTGGACATGGAAGAGGGAGTTTTTTTGAAAGAAGAGGTCTCCTGGAAAAAGCACAGGTGTCACTCCATCCACAGTAATCACAGTTTAAATGTGAGATAGCGTCCAATCAATGTGGACGCCATCTTTCGAAAAAGCACATTGTTTTTTCATTGCGCTTTTGCTGCGTAGATGCTTGCTTTCTAAAGAAGTTGCTTCTTCTGAAAGAAGCCTGCAGTCCAGACATAGCCTGAAAGGGGGAGGCTGTGGCTATAAATGCTATGTTTGACCTGGGAGACCACTTTCTTCCCTAGATTCTGACCCTAGTGAAAGGAAGTGAAAGGAAAGAGCCATGTGTTATAACCCACAAGAATTGTTAGTCACAGGCAGAGTTTATAAGGGATGGCCCAAGGGGTGGGACACTTGCGTGTAACACGAGACAGATGTTCAGTTGCTTGCTCTGCCACATGTTTCCAGTGTGAACTTGGGCAAGTCACTTTCTCACTGTGCTGGTTATCCATGGGGCTGATAGCATTTCTCCACCTCACATGGGGTATTGTGTGGAATAAGTATATTAGAGAGAGTGAGATGCTCAAATGCTAGTGTAATGGGGGCCACATAAGTACCCAAAGTCAGTAGACTGTAAAAATAACAGCTCCAACAGTACTTAACACACAGCTATTTCCAGCTTTAAAGTGGTTTATAAAAAATGATGAATTTACACCACTCCTGTGTGGTAGATAAGTATTAGTTCCATTCTATCAGTCTGGAAAATGAGGCCCAGAGAGGTTAAAACAGGCATTTATAAACCAATGATTTGTCTAATTTTTTTTCCCATCCATGTGTGGAATAAATTTTGTTATGTGCACCCAAGTATATTTGGATGTGCACTACCAGTAGAAACACATGCTGCCAGCTGTGGGCACTGTGGGTGCTTTGCTAATCAGCTGGGCAGCATTTGAATCTTTCTTTGGTGGCTACCCAGGTGGTCAGCTTATAGGGAACACTGGTGACCACTGAGTTTTCGTCATGAGACACTTTGGGACTGACTTTCAGAGGTGCTGAGCAACTGCAGCTCCTAATGATTTCAGCAGGCACACTGGATACTTAGCACTTTTGTGTGAATTGGGTCCACGTGGTCTCATATTAAGCACCTAAAATCGCTGGTCACTTTTGAAAATTCAGCTCTAAGAGGCTTGCTGAAAATCAGAGTGTAAATCAGCGATAGAGCTGGGAGGAGCTTGGGACTTCCTGATGCCTAATTCTGTGCTCAAACCACAGACTCAGACTGTCTTTGTGGTCTGCGTTGGTACAGTGCTTAGCATAGTGGGGTCCTGACCCATGAGTGGGGCTCCTATATGCTACGCTAATGTAAATCAATAATGATAATTAATAAGATATTATCCTGAAAATGAACTCTCATCACGTAACTACTATGGGACACTTCTATTTGTATTAACTGCCTCCAATTTTTACATATGAAGATACCTTGTTTGGTATGTGGCATTTAAGCAAAACCACTAATAGTTAGGGCTGGTGACAGCCTTTACCAGGGCTTGAGCAATGTAAGTGGGACTTGCCTCCAGGCCCCTGGAAGAGGCAGGGCCTCGGGCAGAAGTGGTACTAGAGGTTAGCCTCCCCAGCCAGCCCTCAGCCCCACTCAGACCATGCTGCACAGGGCTCTGGCGGCAGTTTAAGGGGCTGGTGCTGATGCTGCCATGGTAGCAGCGGTGGCAGTCTGGAGCCTTGGACCCTTTTAAAGGGTGGGACCCCAAATCAACTACCTCTCCCCCACATATTGGCTGCTCTGCTAACAGCTATTACACCGACATAGTCCTTAAGGAAGATGGGGGAGATAGGAAAATTCTAAGGCATTTCACGCAGCAAAACCACATGAGTACACAGATAACGCTTTGGGTGGGCAACAGTTTCAGACATTTTCAATATTTTGTCTTCACATGACTGTTCATTTTGTTTATAGCCAAGCTTCGCATGGAACAATAAAGACTGAATGATGACAGGCTTCTGCCAGCCATTACCATGAAAGATAGCACAGCAGCATAAATAAGGATATTGATGATGTTGTTGAGATGCGTATTTGGACTCCAATATACTAATTCCCAAGAGCGATGTGTCTATCAGTCATCCCGCCATGTCATGAGAGTGCAAATTATAAGACAATTTGCATATCTTGTGGGACAATCCATTACAATTTAAATGAGCTGTGTGGAGCAATGAGTATATGAACATTTCTAAGCCATTAGTCTCTGGAATAATAAAATAACAATAATTTATTTTGTGGATACTGCAGAACAAAAAATTAAATATGGTATTTTAATGCTAGAGTTTTAAAAAGAAGTTGACAAGGTGTAAATTCATAAATCTCAGTGTGAAAGTCCGGATTTCCAAAAAAAAAGCATGACATTTTAGAATAAAAATATTAAACACAATAAGGGTAAGAATTCATTCTTCCTTTTTGTTTAATTTTGAAAATATTGGAATTAAATATTGGTATTGCAGATGAACTGTTAAACAGAGAAAAGTCAAATACTTTGTCACATTAGTTAGCAGAACTGAACAAAGAATGTAAAGACACTTTTTCTTCTGTGACATTGTATAAGCACAAAGAAATAAAGAAACAGATAAAACTCTCAGAACTGCTTCATGAGTATGGGCACAACTTATTCAACAGCATTAAGGGAGGTTGAGGAGATATAATGCTAACTCATTCCACTATTTGACCCAAAAGTCTCACAAGGGGAATTGCCAACTACTCTGGAGTCATGTTCTTTGAGCATGATCCATGCCACCTTAAATATAGTTGCATCACCGACTGAAATTGCAATGGCAGGTAATTTCAGGAGAAAAGACAACATTAAAAAGCTACTTGACAGAAGCTTTCTCATCGTCCTCAGTATTCAGGAGTTATCCATCGTCCTCAGTACAGGCAGTCCCCGGGTTACGTACAAGATAGGGACTGTAGGTTTGTTCTTAAGTTGAATTTGTATGTAAGTCGGAACTGGTACATAATGTAGGGGAAACTCTAGCCAAACATTTCTCCAGAGCTCAGTTTTATTCTCCCACACCTCACTTCCCTCAGTCCTTTATTCTCAAGCTGAGGTGTCTGCTGAGAAAAGCCGCTCCGCGTCTCCCTGGTCTGCTGGGGGGAAGCAGCTAGTGCGGGGTTGCCTCACCCCGTTTGTAAGTAGGGATCCGATGTAAGTCGGATCCATGTAACCCGGGGACTGCCTGTATTCAGGAGTTATCCAGTTTCCCACTGCATTGAATGAACACCCTTATTCATCCAGCAAACCAGAAGCAAATGAAATATTTCTAATAAATCACAGGATTTTTTTCTATTCCACTCTGGAATGTCTCACATCTTGAGATGTTGAGCTCTTATTTCCTTCTTCTTCATTGGGGAAAATATGGGCTACCACTTTTGTGATCACTCTAAGGCAGTGGTTAGAGTACCAGTACCAGCTTCTTGCTGGGTGTGGGGGGAGAAAACCCCAAGCCTTGGTGTAGGATTTGGCTCTTGAGGGAGGAAGCAGCTCCACACACTGCCACTGCCCCTCCCCCCCAACTGAGAGAACTATGGCACATGGACACGATGCCTGGAGGTTTTCCCGCTGCTTCCATTGGCTAGAATTGCAGTCAATGAGAGCAGTGGGAGGTGGTGCCTGGGACACAGTGCCTGCGAGCAGCGAGGGGTGCAAAGCCAACTAAGCTCCCTTATCTCTCCCCAAGACCCCGCCATTCCCAGCCCACTGCTGTACCGTCTCTTGCTCCTGCGCCCTTCCTCCTGGTCTGCTCCACAACCCCCAACCTGCTCCTGCACCCTCCCTCTTAGCCAGACCTCACCTCCTCACTCCCTCCTGCAGCCCCCATCCCTATCCCACTCCCTGGCAACCCCCTCCTGCACACTGAACCCCTCATTTTTGGCCCCAGAGCCTAGGGTGGCTCATAAAATCTACTAACTCTGGAACCCCAGAAGAATTAATCTGGCCTGTGGGAAGTCCTGAATCTTGATCCTCCTTGATCCCAATTCCCCACCCCCTATGGGGCTGGAGGGCCTGGAGAATAAGGTTGGGGGACACATCAGTGAGGGTTAGGTTTTGGGTTTTTTTGCCTTTAACTCCTCAGTGGTTCCCAACTAATTTTTCTGTGGCTCAATGGCCACTCAGCCAAAAAAGTTTTCCTACCGCTGCCATAAATAAAGACAATGTTGAAATGTTTTGTTTTG